ATAATGAAAAAGTTCTTTTACATGATATCATATCATGAATCAACTGAAAAGTCATTATTTGATATCATAGTGTAACGCATTAGCATTATATCAAATCAGGACTTACACAAATGCTTATGATATCATATAATGATTTTGTCGAAAAGTCATGATATGATATAATGATTTTGTCGAAATGTCATGATATCATATCATGACTTTTCGAAAGTTCATGATATGATATAATGCTTAATGTTGATAACATTATATCAAATAATGACAAAAACGAATAAGTCATGATTTGATATAATGTCTGTTCGTTTATCAATTATTTATATATAATGACAGTTTTAGTCATGATATGATATAATTAACGTTAAATAATTTTTGGACACATGGCGTTCCATATATTACAGCAGTGTAATACGTTAATAGGATCATGACGTGAAAGAGTATAATACGATTTCATTCAAGAATTTAATTTCCGAAACACAGAAATCATTAGTAAAAGATTCCCGATCCAAGCGATGCCCTGAAGTTTCTCCATCCGTTGCCAGACCTTCGGTAAAGGTTGCTGCAGTTGAAAGTCGAAGGCGCAGTTTGGCTTTAGACTCAGTTTATCAATGTGTCCTCCTCGTTCTCGAGTGATGAAACTAGATCTACCACATCTTTACCCATGCCAATAGAAGTGAGTCAATTGTTTATGAATATCATCTACCAATATACTTTACCGTAATTAATAAATATAGTCATCCATATACGTATGTTAGTAATCCTTATTTAAACCCAAAACCCAAAATGTGCAATCCAATTGTGATTTCTCCATGGAATATTTTTTTGCGAATATTTATAGAATGGCAGACGCGCGAAGGCCACTTGATTTCGGTCGGGATATGTAATCTTGTATCAATGAATTTAAGGGAGACACAACGATAACAATGCACGAAACGTCCTGAGTAGATATCCCAAGTGATTTCCAAGGAGACAGAAAATCGACTTGTTTAATATCATCCCTTGCAAACATCAACAATGCCAATGGGGTCAGATGGAAAATCAGAGACTTTCCATAACCCGTTGGCAGGATACAAATAACATCTTTTGTCAAATAAATAATATATGTTTAAGTACATTTAAGAGTTTGTTACGACAGTACTATTCGAAAGCCCTGCACAGTTGTTTTGATGCAGGACCCAAGGACATGGAGATCTGTATGTTTAAATTGTGATTCTTGTCGAAGTTTGAACAATGTTATCAATCGTGTAATTCAACCTGGCGAAATTGAATAAATAAATAAATACTTTCCAAACAAAGAACTTGCTTCGGCTTCAGTACAGTATGTTGTTATGATATGCGCAACGAATTCCAAACAAGCAAGAAATGCAATGAAACTCGAGCATCTCCGTTCGAGTCTCCTTTGCTTCTATGGCCTGGTAGCATGTGAATGACAGAAAGATAACATGAAACGCGCGCAAAAGGGTAATTTGACACGAAGTATTTAATACAATTTTAATGATAAATTGCGATATAAAGTGCGCTCAAATTACACTTTTTGTAATTCAAACCAATACGTCCGCTCCTTGCCAACGAATTTTACTATTGGAAGGTGGAAGCATTGTAATGTCAAGGAAGCATGCACCTCGCATTGTGGCTAAACGAATTATTAAGTTGCCGGTTCGCCCCCGAATAACGTCCTCACGGTGATACTGAAAATATTGTGATTAACGTTTAGTCCTTTGTTAGAACAAACACCGCACTAAAAGAAAGTTCCCCCCCCTAAATACTACCGTTCCTACCTGATAATCACACCTCAGCACTAATTAGACGTATGATAGGTTGCTTAATCTGTTTGAAGAATGGGACCATTCATGCTTTAAAGGATGACTTAACCTCCATTGAATACAAAAATACCCAATTTCAAAATTAAATTTCAAAACTTCACAACGTACAACAGTATAAATTGTTTCATCAATGATTTAGTAATGGTGTAACCACTACACTAGCTTCTCGATAATTTCAAACAAGGCATCATCTCCTCAGAAAGAGAATGATGCGGCCTTGGAATTCGCCAGATCTCAACCCAATTGAGATTTTTTGGGACCAGCAAAAGCGATTTGTCTATCGTCGGTTCGAAGTCAGAATATAGCACTCTGGCGGACTTGGATCAATTTTTGCAGCGGGAATGGATGGCTATATTTCAACGACAGCTGAGCAAACGATGCCTTGAGGTGATCGAGAAGAGTGGTAGTCACACCCATTGTTAAATCATTGATGAAACATTACTGTTGTAAGTTGTGAAATTTAAAGAAAGTCATTCCTGTTTATTTTGAAATCGAGTATTTTTGTATTCAATGGAGGCTAGTAAGTAATTCTTCGAAGCACGAATGACGGTACCCCATGCTTCACACAGCATTAAGCAAACTACCATAGCTATAATTAGTGCTAGGTTTGATTTTCAGTTAATCATTTAGAACTTATGATGATATATTTAGGGGGGAACGTTCTTTTTGTGGGGGGTTTATAAGAGAAACCTCTCTTATATACAATCTTTGATAGATTGTTTTTTCTTTGTTAATTTAAATTTTAGTAATTTTGTTTTATTTATTTAAACTCCAAACACTATACCAAATTATATTTTGTTTTGATTGTAGCGTACATTGCACTAGGTTTTCTAAGGATTGTTACTTCGGCCTATATATTCCTTTGCCTGTTCGAGCCTCTGATCGTTTGAACTGTTTTTCGATGGTATTCAGGCAAATGTGAGTGAGTTATGATAAATTAAGAAATGAAGAACATTAAGATCCGCAAGGTGAGCTTACTTTCGTTTTCACTTCTTAATCATACGTATCAGTCATACGCCTATGTATGTGCAGTCATACAGGCTTATCAATGTAGCTATAGGAACCTTATGAAATACGAATGGTTAGAGTAGAAACAATGGTTGTTGTGTCTCCAGAAATGGAAATAAATATCTAACAGAAGAAGACGAATAAAATTTCCCAATTTATTCAAATACTACGGTGAAAACTGCAACAAAAGCATAAACAAATATTGCACAGCAAGTACAAATACTTAAACAATAAACTTCGATCATTCACAAACAAACAAACACAACGAAATACATAAATCTTTGGTCTAATATAACTCCAGTAAATGTCATGTTTGGGTTTTTTGTATTGTTTTCCCATGTATATATAAAAAAAGCTACTTAAAATATGTTACAATAATTTAAAGATTTTGGGCTAGAGACCTACTAGAAATCTTGATAGACTTTTTTATTTAGGCCTCTAGTTACTGTTCATTTGCGATAGATTACATTAATTATTTACACTCAATCAATACAATGTGTAAAATCAGAAAGTTTTGACGCATATATACTATATGTACGAACTCCGCCCCCAAAACAAACCCCAACCGCAGTTCTATCTCTAAAATATAGTACAATTCAAAATGACCGACAAGGCTCAATGACACGCTTAATACATTATTGATGGTACTTCACTGACTGAACTGAGTCCATTAGGGAGCAGTCATTATTAATGCCGGGGGTGGGACCGGAAGATATTTCTAAACTCATGGTAAATTTTTCATGGCCCCTCATTCTTTCAAAATATTTTTTCATGCCCCCCCCCTCCCTTTAAATATAATAAATTTTCAAAGCCCCCCCCCCTTCTTCCTCCTGTGATTGAACTTGCATTCCAAACATATACTATAGATCACAGGCTAGGTGGCCTAATCTCGCAAGCGACTGTATAGACTTGTACATTATGGCAATGTATATTATAGCAAAAATATGTAATAAAATATAAATTTTAAAATGAAATTGACTTGTCTATTCGATAGTGTGTGTTCTCCTTTTATTCCTCTTTTGTTGGACTAATATTTTCCGAGACTTTGCACTCAATCAGTCTCGATGGTACTTGACCCTTGCGAGATTGGGCCACCTGTGGTGCAATTAATGATTTTCGATGGCTGGGGGGAGCGGGAAATCAAAACAACAAGTCCAATATGGCGGAGGAAATTTATCTTTATCTTGTATAAAAACCACATGGACGAATTGAACTAAATTTTGGCACAAGAATGAGTTTAAAAAACATAGTATGGCAAAAAGAGCCTGTGGAGAATAACTGAAAACAGTTTTAAGAAATAATCTCGGCGAGACGCAGCGAAACGTGACTATGTATTAAAGTCTGTAATACAATTTATAAAGATTTTCTTAATACTCTGAACATATGTTATTTGAGTTTGAATGGTTTGTCCTAGTTTAAGTTATGTGCCTTTATGAGTTTATGATCATTTCCCAAGTTTGTTTATGCCATATTGCTTACAAAAGAATTAAAAACTCTTGACAAAATGAAGTTTAATTTTAAAGAAAACTATTTTGTCGCCATGCATAAAATAAATAAATAATCACACGGGCAAGTCGTGCGATTAATTATTAACGGCTTGTGTAATTTTGGCTCATTTTTTCAAATATCACTCGTAGTGTTAATCATTAATTGCACTCCTTCCCGTGTGATTACCGCATTGACATTTGTTTTATGATTATTGTACATTATTTTTGGTGGCCCCCCTACCTTTCTTTCATATTTTTGGTAGCCCCCCCCCCCCTAAGTGGTTAATAAATTTTTGGTGCCCCCCAAAAAAAAAATATCTTCCGGCCCCACCCCCAGCATTAATGACTGCTCCCTTAGGTGTGTATTAAAATCATAAAATGTGTAATTGTTATACCAAAGAGAGCTCAAGGTGCATGTTTAGGTGACAATAAAATCTGCACCCACAATGCAGTGATATTGCAGGTATACAATGCTGTTTTAGACTCAACGGTTATACTGTTATTGTACAGAAATATATGCATTCCGAAGAGTCCTTAAGTTTTTAAAACAGGAAGGGAAAAAAGTATTTAAACTTTAAATATATCTTTTTTTTGTCCATTTTAGTTTCACATAATAATTTTGTTCTCGACTATACTGATGATCTTAATAAAGACAAATTATCTGACGTTTTCATGCATGGTACATAAAATGTTCTGGTCAACAGTGAAAAGTGAGTCCTTAGTAACATACAAGAAAGATCAAGGCCAAAGATCTATTTTCTCTCCTCCATCTCCCTCTCCCTTATCTGTACTACCTGCAACTCCACCGCCCTATCATTTTCATAATTCTCCAAGCAGAGCAAGACCCAACCCTAATACTTTCAAAGTACATTTCCCATATCCCTTACAACTACAGCAGGCATTTACAGATCAAACCCATGGTATGTTAGAAAGATTTTCGCACTTGTGCATTTGGACGTCTTTAATTTACATCGTTTAAATAATAATAAAACAATCAGTTTACATAATATGAAAAATCATCAAGCCCTCAGCATTCAGCCTCGACAGATAACACGAAAATCGGCCTTGAAAATTCTTCATATCATGTGAAAACAAAATTCTATATATTGTCAATAAGTAAATAATGTGGTGGTATCTAATGCAATTAGTATAATATTATTAGTACACGGAATTCCCCGTAGTGTGGAAGAGCAGCAGACAGAAGCCATAGGAATATTGTCTGTCGCCGTTGAAAGCTCACTAAAAAGACTAAGAAGACAATTAGGTATGTATATATTAAGATATGCACGAGAAGACAAATGGGCTAAACACGAACTAATAATATATTGACAGTTCGAGTAAGAGGTCATAAGTCCCATCAGAATCGGTTATGTGATTATTAATAGAAATATTATACCTCAAATTCAAATTGTCCAATGAAAAAACTTCATTTGTACCACGTGACAATGTGATTTTTTACGGTATTTCACTCAAATTAATGGTTTCGCAATGCAGCGTGAGATACTATAATATCCCACGGTGGATCCACCGTGGGATATTATGGCATCCCGATCACGCTCACGCGTGACGCGTGGACACCACGCTCTGAAACAATATGGCGTTCGCGAGCTGTTGTTTGTAATTTCGTACAGAAGATTTATTGATTTGACCAAAGATTTTCAAGACGTATGTTACCTTCAATGATCCAAAGAATACATGCTCAAATATTTTAAAGAGAAAATTACGTCAAAAACACAGGAATACATAAGAAATAAAAAATTGTATTCGCTTTATAGTTTTAAAGTTTATTCTGAAAGTAGTGGGTTCCTCAACTTTCGGTATAATATATCATTTATAGACCCTCCGCTCGGGGGATTCGTCGAAACATTACCCTCAGTGATGATATATCCCTCGGGACAAAGCCCCTCGGGAAATATCATCACTTCGATCGGGTAATATTCCGCAAAAACCCCCTCGCTCCGGGTCTATAAATGATAAATATATTATTTTATTATAAGTAAAATCACGAATTCAAAAATTATCATTGAAATCACAAATTCAAATTTTTTTTACTTTCATATTTTATTATGAGGTGATCTACTACTACAAATTTGTCCGCACACTTTCGTAAAATATCTCATTCCATAAATTTAAGCGCGTAGCTTTCGAAGGGGACAGAATACGTAAGAAGTGGCATCCTCCGCGACGCGGATGTAGTGGCCCGGGAGACAGTGTCAGCTAGGGCAGTGTAGTGTAAGCTAGCGGATAATGTCCGGGGAGACACAATCCACCAGCAGAGGCACTCTTTCGAGGGGACAGCATTCGCTGTGAACATCGTTGCACGTGTTGCCACTCCTCTTGCGCCAACAATGCGATCAAATTTGATCCATTAGATTGCCCGCATGAGAAATTATCTCCCGTGTAACCTATAGGCTTCAAGGATAATCCAGCTTGAATATTTTATATTATTGGACTGTTCCAGAACTTGATCTCACTTGTGATTGGATGAATGGCAAGTGGGTGCAGGATACAACTATAGTATACCGTGAAGGTGCTCTATCTGGATATCGTCATTGTTTAGTAGATGATAGACAAAATTGCAAACGTAACAGGAATGACTCTCCTTATCTCGGTTACCGATGGGCTTTGATTGACAAGAGCTGCGAGGCCAAAAGGATACGATTCACAAGGAAACATTTTTTGACTATAGTAAGCAATAAAAAGATCGCGTTCGTTGGAGATTCTCTAACAAGGAATATGTTTCAGTCACTGGCATGTCTGCTTTACGTACCCTATGACAAAAAGGAAATGGTCGAGGAACACATGTACAAATACAGGTATATTAGCATTTGTTTATTTTTTTTATGATGATGATATGTGCACAAACTGTTGGTACAAGTTCCGGCCATGCAATTATATCTATACGGCTGTTGGTTCTGCTGACACAGCAAGGATAGATTATAAAGTGAGATTGCTTCTGCATGGTTCTTTGCAATCATTAACGTCATTGAAAGAATCGAAAAAAAGCTTTGGCAATCTGTCACTTGTGAGCAGGGTCTATGATTCACTGAGACTGGCAAACAATTTGAACCACATGCTTGTACAAATGATGAACCCAGCTAAATGCCATTGAATCCATTAAATGAGTATTTCTATGAATGCTTACTTTTTGTTAAACTATCCTAACTAAGGTGCCGATTTGCAGTAGGGAGATTCATCCATGATACAGCTGCCCACGCTGTAAAACTATCAAACAGAAAAATACTCTGACCTGGTCACATTATTGAACATATACGTCTTTGCGACCAGGTATAGTTTCAAAGAGAGCTTTAGATTTGGATACTACAGTATTTACAACAGTGTACGAATCGATTACAAAATTCTTCATGGATGCACTTGCACGCCAGTCACACCATAATTCGCATTGTTCAAAATAATGCAAAGTATATGGCGTGCAAGAGCGTGATGGATTTAAACTTCTTGTACGTGTCGTTGTGGTACAGAGTAACATAATCTAAAGCTTTCTATAGGTAAGTGTAAGGTATGTGTAAGGTATGTCAATTTCAATGTTAGTACTGTTTTGGTTCAGGTATCCCGATTTTAATGTCACTATTGAATTCATAAACTCAAACTACTTGGTGAAGCAGACAAAATCGGATTGCGACAGTGATACAACAGTAAAGCTAGCAACAGTGCCCTGCCTTGATATACAGACTGTTGACCCAACCTGGGCCACTCGTGCAGGTGAATTTGACATTTTAATGTTAGCTACAGGAGGATGGTGGGAGCATGATTTGCAAATGAGACAGGCAAGTTCTGGCGATGATAGCTCATTCATAAAATCACAAAATGCCATACGCACAGCTCTTATGACAGTGATGGATTATTTGGGACAGCCTGAGTTTCATGGGAAACGCCTGTATTGGAGATGTGCAGAGGTATAAATTGCTGAACATAACATATTTCAGTTCCCTTGTGTATAGTATTTCGCATGAGATACTAAACAAAATAAAACTCCGGTCTAATACTTTGAGATCAGTGCATCTGGCTCAAAACGTAGAATACATACATATGCAAAATTTCAGCCTGTAAACCAGCCTTATATAAGCAAATTAGCAAAGAAAAATCTATGTGTGATAACGATTATGCAAGTCTGTTGAATCGAATAGTGGTATTTAGGCCTTTTTGTATATGGTAAGAGCCCTACCAAAAAATAAGCATAAACTATTAGGGACCAAAAAATAAGCAACCAAACCAACCAAGTCTCATATTTGTTATTTGGCTATGTGGAGGGCATGAATGTATGTAATTTGAAAATTCATTCTAAAATGACAGGTATGCTAATTGTTGGGATTGAACTAAATTGTAAATTAAAGCTGTTCTAACTAGTCGTACTTTTGATTATTTAGGTAAGCCATTTCTTTGGAGGTGAATGGAATACAGGTGGACAATGCAAACGCTCTGCTCCAAGTAATCATTCGTTATACAATCCTGTTTCATTGTTTATTGAACAAGCAGTCATAGATTCAATCTCGAGTACTTCATCCAACATTAAGTTATTTGATATAACCAAAATGAGCAGCTACCGTCAAGATGCGCACCCATCAAGTCAGACTAAAACCACTGCACCTACTGACTGCAAGCATTGGTGCTTGCCTGGCGTTCCAGACCATTGGAATGAAATTTGGTTAAACATATTAAATAACGATTTTTAAGTTTGCATCTTGAATCTTCATACGAAAGTAATCTGAATAGGCTACCATATACCTAATATAAGCAAAATTCTCTGCTCAGAGCTTTGGTCTAAAATATAATAACAAATATACTGTCATTTAGAAATAAAGGAATACCGAATGATTTTCCGTGCAGGATTGCGTGATCCATGCACGAGGGATGCATGTCGCGAGACTTTCGGAAAGCGTAAAAATACTCGAGCCGCAGGCGAGTGTATTTTTACGCTTTCCGAAAGTCAAGCAACATCCCAAGTGCATCGATTACGCTATCCTGCTTGGAAAACCATATGTTATTGTTTTATAAAATAACTACAGTGAAACAATGATAATTTGAGAAAGCCGCGAAAATCCTGCGAAGGCTTTTTAATTCCTCGTGCAGGATAGTCAGGATAGCCTGATCCTGCACGGCTATTGACCAATTAAATTTCATAAATTGCATGTTTCACTGTAGTTATTATATAAACTATTATTAAAAATATCATCTGTAATATGAAGGATTAGGTCGGTATTAAACAGATTTTATATGTGGCTATGATGTCCATATATGCTAATATGCATGGGATCAAATCTATCACAATCAATTGAACTAGTGTAAACGAATCGCTACAAGATATAAAAATACTCACCAAATGTTAAGAGGGCCTCTCAGTAAAATCCACTCACTGGTTTGGGGAAGGAAAAATAGATTTAGCTCATATTTTGCATATGAACTATACTTTGGTCAATATTAATCGAGCTTCTTTCAGAACGTTTCAACTTTCTGTTTTGTAGGAGTTATAGCCATGTTAAAATTTGACCTTGCGAGAATATTTTCAGACCGGAAATGAAGGGGAATTTTACAAGAATTCATCTGATTTTTTAAAAACGTTGTGATGCGTTTATCCCCTTCAGTTACTATTCACATGCAAGATTAACACTAATACTCTCGTTTACATGGAGATTGAACAACTTTATTTGCTTAATACGGTTTTTTTTATAGTTTTACGAAACTATGTTTTCAAGATGGCGACGAGAGGCTGAAAATTGCTCATATTTTACTTAAAATAGCTCAAAAGTGGCACCTATCTGAAGTTCAAAAGGCATGTAATTTGAAAGTATACCTACTAAAGTTAAGTAATCAGGAATAAAACTCGTCTGCAAGCAATTTTCTGAAAAGTTATAAATCTCCAAGTTGGGTCTATTTTTAGCTTTTTGTTGACATTCGCGTGTTCGCTGATCTGCGACACTAGTAATTGAAGAGTTAAAATAAGCTGATTTACTACCCATGAGTAAACTTTTTTAACTTGTTCAAAAGAATATATACAATTTTGTGAAAATATAATTACAATATATACAAGTGATCGTGTACAGAACATTCTTGAATTCGAATTGCTTTACATTTATACTTAACTTACACTTGCACTAATTATACACTTTCAATATACACATACAGTAGTACAGTTACAACGAGTAGTACAGTGTCTACGACCCTGATATCTTTTAATGTTATTAATTAATAATTATATAATATATTGGTAATATAATAAGAACTTCGTCAATACATTGACACAATACCATAATCTCCCGATTATGACCTTGATCTGCCGCTCCCACGGCGGGAAGTGCATGTCTGAACGACCAATGTGAGTAGAAAACTTACTTAAGTGTCTCTGTGCGATGTTCAGGTCATGAAATAGTGCTACAGGTAATATCGGTTTAATGTACTTTGCAGAAACTCCCATGATTTTGATGTCGCTCAATATGATAATCAGAATCCTGTTTAGCCGAAGGGTTGCTATTTTTATGAAAATGCGTGTACTGACCCAAGTCTAGCTCGATTAGACAAATTTGGGTAACGTTTGTTTATACCCAATTCACAACTTTATATAACACACATGCCTAGTTACTATGGTTCTAGATTACAAAAGCATATAAAATAGAACAAAGGTAACTAACTCTTATTGTTATATAGTCTTATAAGGGGCGGACCATTAGAAATCCCAGGAGGGGGGGTATAAAATTTTTGCGGCACGAGTTTTTTTTTCAGTCTCATGTCTCTGCAGGAATTTTTTTTAATGCATTTAACCTCGGCACGAATTTTTTTTCAAGACTACTTGTACTTTGCTCATGGGCGTACCGGAAGGAAAAATTTAGGGGGGCGGAAAGAAATTTGCCCGACTTTTCCGGATTTTGACCGACAAGTACCGAAAAAACGGAATTTGTTTTGGCGACCTCCCTCCCCCGTCGCGAAAAAAATTTCGGTCAGCGTACCATTTTAGGGGTCAAAAATGTTTTCCGGACATACCACATACCAAAAGTTACCACAAAATTGACAGAATTTGTCAATTTTTTTTTTAATAAACTAAAATTGCCCGACTGTTCAGCGAATATTGCCCGACTGCCCAACAAACTGGGGGGCTGCCGCCCCCCGCCCGGTACGCCCATGACTTTGCTGTTTGCATGCACGAATTTTTTTTCTCTGACGTAATGGCTGCACGAATTTTTTTTCAAGGCATTTTTCTTTGCACGAATTTCTTTTGGGGAATTTTCACCCCCCCCCCCCC